AGGAAGACTCCCGACAAGTCGCTGAGGAGGGAGGTGAAAACCATCACTATAACTACCACAAGTGAGCCCACTACCCTGTAGGCGATCAGACGGGAGACTACCCACCAGTTTCTGCGAATCTTCACGGAATTCATTCGCAAAGAACGGATCGGATAAGCAATACGAGGACCCGCTGCCGGTAGTGTCCACATACAGAGCAGGGACAAGCCTTGGAGCCGTCTGGCTGATCGCGATTCCACCATCCGTTTCTCTCAATTTCATATTCACAGGCGTGTGACTTGCCGTCATATCTATCATCGGCGACGTTCTGCCATTTGCCGTCTGTTGCCTGTACTCAAAGCCCACAGACTTTCCATCACATGATACCATGACTTGCCCATTTTCAGGCTGACTGCGCGAATGTCTCCCTCGACCTCTTCCCCGACCTCTACCTTGGCCTGCCATCGAGTCCTGATCGGACAACAAGATCATATCAGCAGTCAGCTCGTCGCCCGCTACCCACCAGTGAGATGGAAAAGCAGAAGTACAATTGAACCACACACCAAACAATGCAGAAACCGCAAAGAAGAGTGTTTCACCCGCTGCCAACATGGAGAAGGAGAAGCGGAACTAACAGAGCAAACAAGGTGGAAACCACAAAGAGAAGCTTTAAAGGTTAGAAGCCTCGAGTAGCAATTTGAGACCTGACACTAGCAACACTATATACATTAATTGCTGCCTTACATTACTGAAAAGCATGTCTAGAATTCTATACATACATAAATGTCTGCATCACCACAACCTCAGAAGACTCAGAACCATATTCCCAGGCCATCCCAGTTGGCGAAGCCCCTAGGGGGTGTAGCCATTCAGGGAGTCTTGAAGCGTGGCTATGGTCTTCACCTGAATAGGATGGTCAATCATATACATACATATATATCATCAAACAGAGCCGCCCGGTAAACCCATAGGCAGAGAGGGAGAAGAGGACAACATATAGTGACGCCTTCAATACATTCACACAGGCTGTGACAAACTGTTTCGTCAAACGAGGGGCTGTGACAAACTGTTTCGTCAAACGAGGGGCTGTGACAAACTGTTTCGTCGGAGTTTCACCGACTCATCAGGAGGCTGAGCCCTCAACAGTCTGCAGAATCCCCTGACTGATTACACTGTAAGTGATAACCCACCTTAACACCGGCTGTGGTTAAGCATCAACGACTCCCCGACAACTGACACCTTGAGGTGGGCACCAACCACTACCCTCAAGGTACCCGTGACAAAAATCGAAGCAGACTATCACTCACCCACACGAGATGGAAAACTCTACAGACTCTCGGTTCACACCCCATCACAAGCCAGCAAAACACCCACGAAATAAAGGTAGGTCTGTCACAGCCAAAAACTAAACTCTAGACACGCCGCTGGCACTAGAGGCACGGCTTGGCCGCATAGTGACGGCCCCTACCACTGCCGCTCGACCTGACCGGAGACAACCATAGCAGGGTGCTAGCGAAGTCGTGGTATATATCGTCAAACAGAGCTGCCAGGTAAACCGTAGGCAGAGAGGGAGAAGAGGACAATATATACATACATATATATCGTCACAAACGGAACTGCCCTGTAAACCGTAGGCAGAGAGAGAGAAGAGGACAACAAACAAGGGGCTGTATATATATATATTTATATCGTCAAACAGAGCTGCCCGGTAAACCGTAGGCAGAGAGGGAGAAGAGGACAACAAACGAGGGGCTGTGACAAACTGTTTCGTCGCAGTTTCACCGACTCATCAGGAGCCCGCACCATATATATATATATATCGTCACAAACAGAACTGCCCGGTAAACCGTTGGCAGAGAGAGAGAAGAGGACAACAAACGAGGGTGATATATATATATATATAACGTACCTTTGTCAATCTCACTTTGGACAACCCATCAAGCACTGCCACCGCGCGCATACCCCTGACCGTCAGAGACTTATTGACCTCTCGCAACGAGGGTGATGCATATTGTAGTGCAACTTATTCAGTGGCGGCCAGGGATTAGTGTAGAGCTATTCGCCGGAAATGGTGCATGGTGCGAACACCGAGCAGCATAGCACTATCTGCAGAAAACATGTAGGCTCTGCAGCTGCACAATGTACAGAACTCTCTATGAACAGCATTCAAGTAGCACACGCGATACAGAACAAAGAGACATACTCGGAGGGGTTGATAATGATTTTGATCTAGATGCATGTTGAAGACTAACTTCCTAATGACTTCAAGAAATCCCCATGGTGTTTCTGGTCAGTCTGGTTTTTGGCCTGTTCTTACATATCCATATCCCATGGCTTCATAAGTATGTGAGTGCATTCGTGGGGCTTCTCTATCTGGGAGCTTTTTTAATCTCTACAATATTGTGGTCCGGTACAAACGGTTTGCCTCTGCATCCATCGTCAGTACTGCCACCAGCCAGTCTCCTGAAGACTCTCTCTCTCTCTCTCTCTCTCTCTCTCTCTCTCTCTCTCTCTCTCTCTC